AGGACCCACAGGGACCCTGGTTGCTTCCCATAGACCCAGCTGCCCTCCAACAAGCCCAACAGTGCCAAGACAGGCCTGCCTGGCAGGCCAGGGTGGTGTGCATGCGCAGGTAAATGATGGGCACGCACACATGCACACGTGTGTGGGGAGGGTAAGGCCAGCCTTCACTTTCTCATAGGCTCAAAGAAAGTGCCCCGGCCAAGCTGAGTGACCTCCAGTGTCCCAGACACCGTGTGTCCTGGCTCACATGCCTCAGAGCCCATGTCCTGTACCATAGTCTTGTTAACGCAGGGAAACTGAGGCTTGGGGTGGGAGGTGGGGTGTACCACAGCTCCTCCGGCAAAGGGACAGGACATGGCCTCTCAGCCCTGATATTTGCTTTCATTGCCAGGGAGTGTGTCAATATTTGCTCATGGGAACTGCTGCCCTGCCGCACTTGGTCAACACGCCCCCAGCCTGCCGGGTCTCTCCATCATGGGCTGACTCCGAGCTTCAGCCGGGGCCTCCCGTCTGCTCATCAGACAGGGGGTCTCTCCCCGCTCTGGCCGTAACAAACGGCAGCTATTGGGGGAGAACGAAACAAACACATGCTGCCCGTTTACGAGGGCGGCAGCAGGTGACCGCTCCGCCCGCACAATTAAGTCGGAACCCCGGCTCCACCATTTCTTGGCTCTGAGTGCCTTTTGGCCAGCCTCGGAACCTCTTCGTGCCTCAGTTTCCTCATCCCATCTCACAGGACTGTCGCAGGGCGGCAGCAGGGTGGCTCTGGCCTACGCCAGCGCTGTGCTCTCTGCGTCCGGCAGGGGGCGCCGCGGGACCTCAGCCGCCCGCCTTGGCTCCCCACGCGCAGCCCCGCTCGGCCAGACTCGGCTCTCTTCGGCCACCCTCGGATTCACTCGGCCGCTCTCGGCTCTGTTCGACCTCACTCGGTCGCTCTCGGCCCTGTTCGGCCTCACTCGGATCCACTGTCGGGTCTGTTCGGCTGCGCTCGGATTCACTCGGCCAGACTCGGCTCTGTTCGGCCGGGCGCGTCCAGGCTCGGCTGGGCTCGGTAACCCTCGACCCGATTCGGCTCTACTCGTCAAGCTCTGACTTGTTCGGATCTGCTCGGCTGCGCTCGGTTCTGGACGCGGAAAAACTCTACCCTCGCGCCGGCTCCGCGCCGTCGGTCCCCGGGGTGCAGGGCGGCGAGGCCGGCCCTCCGCGTGCACCTGTTCCGGGGACGGGGGTTCCGCTGTGCCGGCCCCTGGGCTGTGGCGCGGGGACTGCGAGCGTGGCCGCGGCCGGCAGCAATCTTTTCCCCGTGCTTTGAGGCGGAAGCCGGTGGAGGTGGAGGGGATTCCCCGAGCTTGGCGTGGGGGACAAGCTCCCCTTACGGGGTGGTTGGCCCTGGCCTCGCGCTGCATCATACGGGCTTTGCCACCAGTCAGCCGTGGGGAGGGAGGCAACTGCTGCCCCTCATGTCGTTGAGACTCAGTTTCCCCCTCTGACAGTTAACAGGGTCCTCGTCAGGGTCCAGAGGACCTGGAACGGCGCTGGCTCTCTCCTCCTCTGGGCCTCTTGGGGATTCAGTTAACTCGCCTGACTGGTATTAACACCCTCGGGGTCGGGCGCGGGTTACTGAAAGCCCAGCGCGGAGAAGCTGCGGCTGGAGAGCGAAGTTCACCCCGGCTAGTTCATGATGGGGGGCTGCGGTAGAAACAGGCTGGGGCTCTCCGGACGGAGGGGCCCCTCGGAACCTCTGCCCATCTTGCGGGGAGGGTTGGGGTCTGGAGGAAGAAGAGAGTGAATGGGCGCCCCAGCCAGCCCTCGGACGTCTCGCGTTTTCTGTCCCCTCAGTTCCCTAAGGAGGGGACGGGGCTGGTGGGATGGGGGGGTGGTGCCAGGCGCCTCGGCTCCCCCCAGCAGGTGGCGTGCACGTTTTCTTTTGTTCAGGTTTTGAATTGGTTACTGACCTTGAACAGTTAGATCTGTGGCCATTGACAATTTACCAGCTGACTCCAGGAAACATCGTGTTTATTGTTCTATCTCAATTATTGACAGGCACACGTCTTATTTTTTAAATACATGAAACATATAGAGGGGTTCCTGGCGCTTTGTAAATGCTGACAAAATGTTCCTATTTTTATGCCGCCTTTTGGCTGTAAGTGGGGCGAGGCAGTACAGAACGGTAGCCGGAGCCTGGTTCTGCCCCAGAGTCTGTGCCTTGTTTTCCTCGTCTGTAAAATGGACATATGAGGTCATAATTGTGCCTACCTCAGAGGGTTGTTGAAAGGTTAGTAGAGTTAAAACATGGGAAGCCCTCAGGACGGGGCCTGCAGGGAGTGAAGGCTGTCTTCTGGGGACAGGGGTAGTGGGAGGTGGTGGCTGGGGAAACACAGGGCTCATACCCTGGGTTTCTCGCCTTGGTGACAAGGGTTCAGGCCTTCTTCATTGGGGTTACAGCTTTGCTGATAGGGTTTGGCAGTGATGGGAGGCATCGGTCCAGCATCTCTTCCTGGCCATGCTGTCACCCTGGGTCCCAGGGCTTGCAGACCAGGTGTGCAGGAGGACGATGGGCACACACTCTCACCCCATTTAGCGTTTAGCCAGGAAGAAATACTGGTAGGTGTCCAGGATGCAGCACCCCATTGGGTATCCCCAATTGCTCAGGTGGTCTTGGTTTCCTCATATCTGCCTGGCCCAGGGACACCAAGGCTCAGAGAGGTAAGGAAACTTGCTCAAGGTCACACAGCTAGGAGGAGGTGGAACTGAGTCATAACCCAGTTTGTCTGCCCCAGGGCTGAAGCTGAGTCTCCAAGCCACTTGACCAGCTGAGGAGATCCTTGGAACGGCTCGGAGACACACAGTGGGGAACTTTCAAGCATGGTGAGAGAGCCGGAGGAAAAATACTGAAGTACAAAATTCCAGAGTTCTGCTCTCTTGTCCACTCTGCCCCCAGCCAGCTGCCTGGACCAAGGGGGAGAAAGGGCCCTTCTTCAGGGCATGGCATGGCTGGAAGCCAAAGGACCTGGCCCCAGTGCTTGGCAGGTCCCATGCCTTTCCAGACCTCAACCTCCTTATCTGTTAAGTGGGATGAGCAAACTTCCTCTGCAGGGATGTCGTTGAGTGTGGCATGGTGCGCAGTGCTGGGCACATAGTCGGCCTTTGGCCTTGATAGAACCGTTCCTAGGCCCCAAACTGCTTGTCCATCCCCCACCCATCCCCGACCCATCTTTCTCCCCATCCCCCTTCCTTAGCTGTTCAGGCTGTGTAAACCACAGGGCTCAGAGATAGCCAGGAGCTGTCTCCCTTCCAGTGCTGCTGACTCAGCCCTTTCCCCTTGGTGGCGGCAGCGTGGCTCCCCTTGGCTTCCTCTCTCTGAAGCCCTGCGTACATCCGCTCTGTGCCCTGGGAATGCTGCCCGGGGAAGGGCCACGTAGAGGGCATTGCCGGTGCAGGCCCACTGGTGTTCCCGGCAGACCTAGTCCTTTAGTCTGCTTTCTTTTGGTCCCCTGGACCCCTGAATAGACCTGGGGGATTCCAGTCAGTTTGGGAGGGGAAACAGCACAAAGCTAGAAGTCAGGAGAGTCTGGCTCTCATCCCAACTTGGACTCCAGTCTGCCATGTGACCTTGAGCCAATGACTTGTCCCCCCTTGGCCACAGTGTCTCTGCTGGTCAGATTAAGGAATGGTGTTATATCATCTCTAAGGATCCTTTCAGGTCCAATATTCTGCTGTTCGATTATCCCCCAAACATGTGGGAATTCCGAGGCCCAGAGTCCGGCCCTGTTCAAGGACACATAGCCCAGGGGCTGTTCCCTCCTTCACACTTTGCCCAGCTGTGAGTGGGCACTGGGGTTTAGCACTCAATGCCACAGACATAAATATGTCTCCCTTAGGTCTCTGCGCACCTGCGCCTCCTGGGAACGATAGTGGCACCATGTCCCTCCTCCCAGGGTGTAGACCCTGAACTGCAACCTTTGCCCACACCCATGCCCAAGTGTGCCATTGTGGGAACTTCAGTGGGTTCCATTCTGTAGGGTTGTAAGTTCCTTTCCACTAGCTGTGTGACCTTGGGCAAGTCACTTCAGCTACCTGACTCTAGCTTCCTCCCTCGAGGCTGAGGTATGACTAGTTGGAATTCTGGGTATAAATACCCTGTGGGGACTGAAAGCCCCCTGGAGAGATGAGGCCTGTCCCAGGCAGTAAGTGCTCAACCAGTGTAGAATGGGAGGGTGATGGAGGGTGAGGGGCATTTCAGACAGGAGCCAGGGCACAGAGCCAGGGCCAAACCTCCCCCAGTCTAGCCAGAAGGAAACTGAGGCAGGACCCTGCTCAGGCCCGGGGCACACAGGCTGCCCTCCTTTGAACTTCTTGGGAGGTCATTTCCCCAGGGGATTGGCTCTAGAAGACCAGGAGGGTGAATCAGTAGGAATGGCACAGCTCCAGGCAGAGGAGGAGGACTTTGGTGCACACTGGGGCATGGGGGACTGACCTGGCTGCCACCCTTATGTGTGATACCTGAGGAGGTCATACCTCATACCTGCTCATTCACTCAACAAACGGATGGCACTGGGAATGGAGTTCTGGGGCACCTAGAGTTTGAGAGGTGAAGTGACAGGCCAAAGTCACTGGCTCATGGGGAGCAGGGCCAGGATTTGAGCCTGTGGCTGCAGGGCCGACCCCTGTGACTCAGAGCAAATAAGCTCTTCAGCTCAGGCTGGATCCCTGGGGGGATTCCAGACCCTTTCTGCTCTGACTTTCTAGGCCTTTCAATCAAACAAGACCCCACTGGACCACCAAAGAGTTAAGCAAAGGAAATCCCTGGCTCTCTTTATCCCTGCAGAGCCCAGAGGCTGGAGGGGAGGGAGGGGGGAGGAGGGGAAATGGGAGGCCAGCTCAGCCCGCTCCCTCCGCCCTCCCTCGCTCCAGCCCTTCTTCCCTCCCTCCTCGGCTGGGCCTGGGGGTCTGGGCCAGTTACAAGTTATTATTGCAGACATGGGCCAAGGAGCCAGAGGCCGCCCAGAGGCCCAGGGTCCGTGAGCCGAGGCGAGGCTGCAGGACACAGGGTGAGTGATAAAAGGCCCCTTAGCTTCTGCCCCCACAGAATCTCGGGCCCTGCTATTTCCCTCTGACCCAGTCAGCCCTCCTAGGCTGTCCTCTCCTGTTCCTTCCTGCCCCTGGCTAAGGGCTGCCCCCGCATGGACACACCAACCAGCCTGACCTGCCTGAACTGAGAATTATGGCCCCCCCACCCTCTCCCCCACAGAGGTCCCAGCTCCTCAGTGGAGGCAGCAGGGACCCCAAAAGTCACCCCTGATGGCATGGTCCCCCACACTTGGTCCCTGGCTGGCACCCTTCCCCAGGGCCAGTCAGCTATCCTAGCTGCGGATTTTATTCCTCTTGTTAAAGGCCACTTGGCTTCCTGCTTCCTGTTCCCCAAGCTACAGTTCTGTGTCTCAGAGCTCCTGACTCCCATCTGGCTGGGGCCAATAGGAAAGAGAAATGTCTCCAAACCATACCAGTCCTCTGGGAGAGGTTCTGCTTCCTCCCATCCCGTGCAGGCACAGAGAAGAGGTCCATGCTGGGCAGAGGAAAGAACAGACTTTTTAAAAAAGTCTTTTACAAGTCAGGCACTTTCCCTGCATTTAAGTCCTCCCAAGTAATCTGGGCGGGAGGTGATGTTGTCAACTCCTTGTGAGTGTCAAGGAGCAGATGCTCAGAGAGGTTAAGCCCCCAGCCCTAGGTCATGCAGCTTGTAAGCTACCCTGGGATCTCAATTCTGACTCTAAAGTCTCAGCTTTTCCCATGAAGTCACATCAATGCCAGGAAAAATAAGTGAATTTCGCTCTTCTCAACACCACTGGAATTTGTAGTTTACAAACAGAAGATGAGGATGATAATCAGACAGGAGAGTGTTGATCTCTGGGGATTTGACCTGCCTTCTTGAGTAGAACCAGGAAACCTGAGCAGGTGGGCAGAGAGGAGCTTGGGAAGGGTCTGGAGACTGATGCCCATCCCCACTTCCTTTGGTGCTACCATCCAGCCCCCAGAGAAGAGGGGACGAGCCTCCTGTCCCTTTAAAACCCAGCTCTTACCTCAGTGTGCAGCTGAGATAGGATGGCATTTAAAAAAGTAATAATTTTACCTTTCTACATGTATTAACCACAGAAAAATATTTTTGAATTGTTCTAAATGTTAAAGGAGAGCAAAAAGGAAATAAACAAAGAAACACCAGAAGTGTAAAAACCAGTCTGGTTTCAAAAGCTGTTTCTGATCCTGTGATAACTCAGTGACAGCCCCCAAAGCCTGCCACCACCTTAAAGGCTCCTGCCCAGCTTCCTGCCCACCCAGCCCTAGGTCTGTCTCCAGCAGCTGCTGTCCAGGCTACTTCCTGCCCCTCTCCAGGAACTCTGGACGACCCTTCCTGACTAAGGCCAAAGACATATCCTCACCAACCCTTGGATTTCTCTGCTCCTTTTGAATTTTTCAGACTTCCTAGTCTTTCCCCTTAATTCCAATTTACCGCCTTGGCAGATGATTGGCAAGTCTATGATAGTTGACAGAACCACCTTCCAATGAATTAACTCTCTCTGGAGCCTTCCCTGCAGGGCTTCTGGGTAAGGCTCAGTTGCGTAGGTTGTTGACTGCACAAAGGTGCTGAGGGGTGAGGTGGGCTAATGCCAGCCCTTGCCAGTGCTCCTTCAAAGAAGACTTCTTTTTTAATTCTAATTTCTCCGTCCAGCGGGGTGCCTTCTTCTACTTTGCACAAAGGCACTGTAAAGGCTAGAAATGGTTTGCAGTCTACAACTCAGCACACCTGCTCCTAATTTCTCGATGACACAGTAACACTGTCACCGTGCATAACTCTGTGCATTTTCTCTCATGGACGTTGCTTCCCGTGTGCTAGAAAAAAATGAACATTTCCATCTCCTTTGTCAGGTCTGTAGTGTTCACGCACCAGGGCATAGGCTCAATCCCCTCTCCTGAGAACAAGCCTGCAGAATCCTTTGCATTTATCTCAAATGTCCACTAACCTCTGTCGTGCTGCCCTGAGCCATGTGCCTGCTGGAGGTGGTGGAGTCAGTGGCACGAAAACAAGCCAGAGGGAGGGAAACATCTTACAGTCACCATGCGGGGCAGCTGGGACACCAGTGAAAGCCTCCTGGGACCCTCCTGTGCCCCTAGCTGTGGCTCTCTTCAGAGGGGCTTCCTCCTTTCCAGCGCCATGTGTGGCAGCCATGGACTGGGTGCTGGGAGACTCAGTGTCCCGGCCCTGCCCTGTCACGAGACTCTTCATGACCTCAGGTAGGCCTCAGTCTTCTTGTCTGTTAAATGGGGACACGACACTTGCTCCCTGAGTCATGCACTCACTGTGGGAGGCAGCAGCCACCCTGGGCATCGGCACAACGTAGATGTTGAGTGAAATAGTTTCTGTCCCTCCTTTTTTGTTCCAGGTCACCATGGGGACAACTGCTCTGGGTCTCCTCTGGGCAGTGCTCCTGCTCCCTCTCTTGGTGTTTGGGGTCCCCACTGAGGAGCCCACCTCTGGGGAAGCTGTGGCCTCCAACACCCCCGGGGGCTGCCGACGATGCTGTGACTCCGAGGACCCTCTGACCCTTGCTGATGCTGCAGATGCGTCCTCGGCCTCTCCGTCTGTCCTCCCATATGTCCTGCCTGAAGTCAGGCCCTACATTAACATCACCATCCTGAAGGGTGAGTCCCCACCCGTGGCTTGTGCTGGGCTGGGCTAGGAGGGCCGGGGAGGTGAGGTGGAGAGAGCAGGAAAACCCAGGACAGAAAACTGTCCCAAACCCTTTCTTTCAGTCACATGTATATTGATCACCCAGTAAGTGCCAGGACTGTTCTGAGCACTGAAGATGGAGCGTGAACAAACCAGACAAAGAGCCCACTGCTCTGGAGCTTCCATGCTAGCAGGGGAGGTGGGCAATGAACCATAGCATGGTACCTAAGTTAACGAAATGGAGTGTGCGATGGTGGTCAGTGCTCTGGGAAATGAGAAGGTGGACAGGATGAGGGGCATTGAGAGTGGAGGTATGGGGTGCAGGTTGCATATCAAGTGGGGTGAACAGTGGAGGGCTCGCTGAGAAGGTGAGATTTGGACAAAGGCTCACAGGAGGTGGGGAAGGGGCAGTCCAGGCAGAGGGCACAGCAGGTGCAAAGGCCCTGGGGCAGGAGTAGGCAAGGAGTGTGTGAGGAGCTGAGGTTGGAGAAGGAACAGGGGCCAGATCGTGCCCTATCAGCCACTGGCGACCATCAGGACTTGGGCTTCTCTGAGTGGGGGCAGGGGCAGGGGCAGGTTTGAGCAGAGGAGGAACCTGATCTGATTTAGGCTTCAAATGGATCTCTCTAGTGTCGTGTGGACAGATGGCAGGGAACAGGGGTGGAAGCAAGGAGCCCTGTGGGGGCTACTAGGGCCTTATGATGAGGATCAGCTCCCTGCCCTCTAAAATCAGACATGAAGGAAATTAGTTCTGTTACTGGGGGCTGTGGGGGGCTTGGGGACAGCTGTGGCCAGGCCCTTGACATCCTTGGCCTCCATCTTTGCTAACAACTGCATGAGGCTGATACTTGATCATTTCCCCCACTTTGCAGATGGGAAAACTGAGTCTCCAAGAGGGGAGGCACTCACCTGGGGGTCACACAACTGTCAGGGACTATGTTAGTCCATTTTTGTTTTTTATAATAAAATACATGGAACTGGGTAATTTATAAGAAAATGAAACATATTACTTACAGTTTCTGAGGCTGGGAAGTCCCAAGTCCATCTGGTGGTGGCAAAGGTGACCCAGGGGTCTCACATTGCAAGACGGTGGAAGCAGAGAGAGCAGAGAGAGAGAGAGAGAGAGGGAGAGGGAGAAGAGAGAGAAATTCTCCGCTCTCTTCTTTTAAAGCCCTCAGAACCATGCCGCTGACCACCATTTTTAATCCATTCACTACTGCACGGTCCTACAATCCAATCACCTCTTCAAGGCCCCACCTTCCAATTGCCATAATAGAATTTCCCACCCTCTTAACAGTCACAGTGAGGGACCAAGTTTCTAATACATAAAAGCTTGGGGGACACAATTCAAGCTTCAGTGAATTTGGGGGGGGATATAATTCAGTCCACTACAGGGACAGAGCCAGGATTTGTCCCTGAAGTCTCCACAGGGCCAGTGCACCACATGGCCAGTGGTGCATTGGAGACCGCCTGCCCCCTTCTGATTTCGTGGGTGAGGATGTCTCCCTTCCCCGCTGCCTCACACATCACAGCTTCCCCAAGACCGATTGTGCCCTTTGCATGAGGTTGAGGAGGTGCCTGGATGCTGATGGTACTTCCCCCCCCACTGTCCTCTCCAAACCCCTGACACTCCTCCTGGGCCAAGCTTGGCTGCCTGCTGGGTGGGGTTGGACAGCTTGCTGTGGCAGAAGGACCCAGGCTGATCAGGACACTGGGCCCCAGCACAGCTCCTCAGCTCCCTTGCTGAGTGGGTCAGTGGGTGTCTCTCCTGCTCTGGGCTTGCTGCCGCATTTGTAAAAAGAAGGTAACCCCTCCTTATAGCCACCCTTCACTTCCTCGCTCAGGCTGGGGCACAGCGAGTGCGCTGCAAACTGTAAAGTGCTGTGCACATGATGAAGTAGTTCTCCATCGAGGCTGTGGCGCCAGACCCCTGCAGAGCAATGGACACTCTCCCTCCTCCCTTCTTTCTGGGCTTCTCCTCCAAGGGCCTGTGCCCTCCTTCCTGCCCCTTTACCCACTCATGGTCACAGGGGACCTGGGAAAACACAGGGCCTCCCAGCTCACTCAAAGGGTGTGGCTACGGGTGAGACTTCAGGCACTGTGACAGGCAGCAGGGAAATATGCGGGGTCAGGTCCCTGCAGACATAGGTGGTCACCTGCTTTTCTTGTGTTCAAAGTCAGCCTGGAACAAGGGCCAGGCAGGGGTGTGCGTGCCTGGGGACTAGGTTAGAAGCCACCAGACCCCGGGGCAGGTAGAGATAGTCTGGGCAGTGCTGGGTGAGCTGTCCTGCTTCATACTTGCAGAGTTTGCGAAGTGCTTTCCCACATGACATTTTGTTGAGGGCTCACAAACACCTCTGTGAGGTGGGTGCAGTCCTCTTCAAGATACAGACAAGAAAACCAAGACCCCAACCACGAAATGCCCCATGTCACCTGGGTGGGCAACAATGCCAACCAGGGGCTTCCTGGCTCCCAACCCAGGCTTTTCCCTCCAGGTGGGCAAGGATATTTTTCTTGGTTCCCTCCTGGATCAGAAATGCAAAGTCCGTCCCACCACACCCCACGTCCCCACCAGCCTGGACTACATGCCAGGCTCGGGGCCTGGGCCTGGCCTCCCAGAGACCACAGTCAGACCCTTTCTGTGGGGGATAAGGTTTTGTGTCCCTGGGCAAGTCATTTACCCTCTCTGTGAAGTAGACGTGGTCATGGTGTCTTCTTAGAGGGGCATTTGGGGAGGCGATGTCTGGCATGCAGTAGGTACATAATAAACGCCAACTCCTTCTCTGGGCCTGGACTTCCATAAATGAGTGTGGGTACCTCCTTGGTGCAGGCCTGGATGCCCGCCCTGATTTCTCCCCTTTTCTCCACAGGTGACAAAGGGGACCGAGGCCCACTGGGCACACCAGGGAAGCTGGGCAAGGAGGGTCCCCGGGGGGACCGTGGCCTGCAGGGCACCAAGGGCGCCAAGGGGCAGGCGGGCAGCCCTGGCAGCCCGTGCCAGACACGCTACTCAGCCTTCTCGGTGGGCCGCAAGACGGCCCTGCACAGCAGCGAGGGCTTCCAGCCACTGCTCTTCGACACGGTCTTCGTGAACCCAGATGGCCACTTCGACATGGCTGCGGGCTGCTTTGTGGCACCCCTGCACGGCCTCTACTTCTTCAGCCTCAATGTGCACAGCTGGAACTTCAAGGAGACCTACGTGCATGTCGTGCACAACGAGGAGGCGGCTGTCATCCTGTACGCGCAGCCCAGCGACCGCAGCATCATGCAGAGCCAGAGCGTGATGCTGGCCCTGGTGCCAGGCGACCGTGTCTGGGTGCGGCTCTTCAAGCGCGAGCGTGAGAACGCCGTCTACAGCGACGACGTCGACACCTACATCACCTTCAGCGGCCACCTCATCAAGCCCGAGGACGACTGAGTGCCTCCTGCGTCACCTCCCAGCTGGGCGGCTCAGGTGCTGGGTGGCCGTGGGCAGGTCCCATCCCCTGCAGGGCTCTATGCACCTCTGTAGAGGGGGGCGGCCAGGTGGTTCCCGAGGACCTGGCATTCTGGGGAGGCTGCCTCTTCTTTCCTTACTGGCATCATCCCTCCCAGTCTGTTTCTGTCCCTCTCTCTTCTCCTGGACATATTTTAAGAAAATTTCTGATCTAAATATTCTAAAACTTTCCCAGCCTTGTAGCCCAGCACTTCACAAACTTGAATATGCATATGAATCACCTGGGGATCTTGTTAAGATACAGATTCTGATTCAGCAGGCTGGAGTGGGCCCAGGATTCTGTATTTCTAACAAGTTCCTGGGTGATGCCGGTGCTACTGGTCTGTGGACCACACTTGAGTAATCAGGTTCTAGAGCTTTCACATTCTAGTACTTTCTGAACATTCTGGAATCCTCCGAATTCTGGAATTCTCCCAACATCACTCTAGGAGCAGTCCCTTCTCTGTTCTCTTTGCCCCTTCCTCCTCCTTTCTCCGTCTCCTCTTCACCACCCCCACCCCACAGCCACTGTTCATTTATTCATTCATCAAACACTGAGCACTCATGCTGTGCCAGGCCCTGGGAAAGGTGAGGTGAGTCAGACAGGCCCTGCCCCTGCTCTTGGTGAGCGCCCAGTCCAGCCCTGGGGGGGCTGATGGGTTCCAGAAGATTTTAAACCAGACCCAGCAAAATGCACAGGGCTCTCACCCTGGGGGTTCAGGCACGGTGCATCTCTTGTTACCTACTGCTCCCCAAGGCTGGTGGCACAGGGTAGTGCAGTATCCATTCTTCCTCCTCCTGCCCATTGCCCATCATTAAAGCAAACCCAGAGGGGCCTTGGCAAGGACAAGGGTCCTGTCAGGGGAGGGCCCAGGAGTTTGGGAGCATTTTCAGGTGAAGGGGGCCTCTGGGGAGTGGAAACCAGACTCCTAGCTCCCCACATGGCTGGTGCGGTAGCATGTGAGGACTCCTACCCTCCTCACTGGGATCACTTCCCTGTCCCCTCAGGCTCTGCCAGGGCCTTGCTCAGCCCCTCCTGCCAAAGGCTTCTGAGCCTCAGTTTCCCCAGGACTTCTCACTACTATCAGACACTGATGTCTGTACCCAGGTGCTTTCGGCCTTCCTCAGCCCCTCTCGCCAGCCCAGTGCCCCCGACTCCAGGCTTTATCAAGGTGCTAAGGTCCCAGTGGGCAGCTCCTGCTGGCAGACCCCTCCTCCAGCCTGGTGCTGCCGTTACAAACACCAGCGGGTGACGGGCCGGGATGGAAGGCACCAGGCTTTGGAGCCCTCAGCAGGTCTAGGGAACTGAAGCAGGCAACATTTCAGGTCAGGCAGGGGGACTCTTCTGAGCCATGCTGCCAAGGAGGCACTGGGAGAGGCCAGGGCAAAGGAAGGGACGTCAGGCCTTCTGTCTCTTCTCCCTCTCCCAGGGTGGGGCAGCCTGGTGGTCCCCTAGCCTTCTTCTCCCCCACCCCAGGTGGCCTGACCTTCTCCTCAGTGGGGGGGGTCTCGCCCATTTGTGCTCATGCAGTTTCTGGGGCAGAGGAGGCCTTGGGTGGTGGTCTCTGGTGCTCACAGTCAAGGGAGCCATTGCTATGTGGCCAGGTGATGGGAGCAGGGCTTGACCAGGTGCCATGAAGGCCGGTGCTATAAAACCACCCCAGCCCTACTGTGCCCCTGCCCTGCTTGCCCATTGTGATTAAAGGATTCTGTGTCCTCTTGGTGGTCAGGCTGGTTCTTTCTGCTCTGCTTCCTTTGCCCACTTGAGAGTGCAGCTGGTCCTGGTTCCTCTGGGGCCCGGATGTAGGGCTCCAGAGAGACAGGGCAGCCCAGGGCTCCACCCCAAGTGCTCCCCCCCGATGAAGGAACCAGTCCTCTAGGTCACTTATGTAGCCAGTGTGCCTTAGAGTTAGTGGGACCAGCTCAGAGTCTGTGGTGCCACTACCTGTCTGGACCTTGGGCAAGTCTCCACATCGCTGAGCCTCAGTTTCCTGATCTGTAAAATGGGGATAATGGCAATGTAAAATGGGGTGGCCATAAGGATTAGAGAAGGTGCCTGGTGAGTGCCTGGTGAATTCATGCTTGAACCAGCATCTATTGGGCACCTGCTGTGTGGCTTGGAGGCTACAGCGAGGAGCACCATCTGTCACCTCCCCGTGGACAATTTGTGTTCTAGGGAGGCACTCGAGAGTGCCGAGCAAACCACAGGCCCTCACCTGCCTCGTGTTTTGTGTTTAATATTTACAAGAGCACTGGTGGGTATTCTCTGCAGGAAGACACACACTACATTTTACAGTGGAATTCCTCGACAGGTCTGACTTTCTAAACTAGCACAGTGGCTACTCATGTAAATATATTTAAAGTAACCTGCGTTGATTCCCCTTGCCAATCTGATGGGGTACCCTGCCCTGCTCTCTGTTGTTATTGTTGTATTTTGATGGCTTTCTGAGCTCCATGTGGAGGAGGCTTGCTATATAGAACCAGCAACCTATAACTGCTCAGGGTGCAGCCTAGCCCAGCAGCTCGCCCAGCAGGGTAGACACAGGGCACTAGCCACTGAAGGGAGGCTTCCCTCCACACCTGAATGCCTTGCAGCTCTCACTGGAGAGGCCCCTCATGAGTCAGAGACTACCCAGAGGAGTGATCCCAGGGAGCATGCTTTTGGCCCAGGCGCTGGTTACACATAGTTGGCCTGATCAGCACCCAGCTTGGCCCTGGTGACTAAGGAACCATCCAGGAGCCTTTTGTCATGTACATCACAAGAATGGGCAATGTGCTGATTGCTGAGGTAAGCAGAACTTTTGGAACTGTTTTCTGAGCACCTGCAGGAGGACTGAAGCTTGTCCTTTGTAAACTGAAGCAAAGCCCCCAGACATTTCCAGGCTGTATGAGTTCAGGGCAGTCAGCGGGGCAGCCCCTTCCGTCGTCCCATCTGACCCACTGCAAACACTTCCTCCACCCGTAGTTCTCATGTGGTCTCTGGACTGTCTGGACCAGTTTTCTGTACTGGACCCCAGTTCCTGACTTGGTGGCCCAGCCTGGATGGGTGGTAAGAGCCACTAGATGTTTGTGATGGAGATTCTCTCTACAGGCAAGTTCGTGGTGGGGGTTGGGTAAGGGTCCCGGGAAACTGGAGGCCCCCAAGCCTGATGCCAAGTGGGGTACAGTGTCCCCCAGGGGTCTGCAATTCTTAGTCCTGGGCACTTCATCGAGCTGGCCAAATGCAGGTATAGCCACCTCCAGAGCAATCCCTTTCAGTTACTATTTTGAAAATGACCTTTCCCCGCTGAAATGTTAGGCAACAAGGAAGGGGAAGAGAGGAAGGCTAGGAGGAGAAGCAGCCCTGGGAAGTGGAAGATCCCCAGACCGGGAGCCAGGGGACTTCACCTCCACTTTGACATTGCTTTGCTGGGTGGCCTGGAGCAAATGCAGGAAACGGGACTGAGTGATTAGATGGTGACCTGAGTTAAAACCAGGGGCAGAGCTGCTACAGGTGGCTGAAACTGGCTGTGTCCCTGGTGACCCGCTGCCTGAGTAGTTGGGCTGGACTCATTTCATGGGCTTGGGTAGAGTGTGTCCTCAGCCTCCCTGGGGAGGTTTACACAGGAGCTCCTCTGCCACATGGGAGAATGGGGAAAGAGTGGAGAATTCTGGTGGGGGTGATCTGGGAAGGCTTCTTAGTGGAGGGGATATTTGAGAAGGGTCTTGGGATGGATAGGGGTTTGCAAGGCACAAGATATAGGGAAAGGGGAGGGTGGGAGGAAAGGATTGGAGGTAGGCCAGTGTAGTCTATGTTCTGGGTAGAGGGAGAGATCAGTATGTTAGATAAATGTTTGGGAAGGAGGTAGAGAGAGCAGGATGGGGTTGAGGCAGGAGAGCCACTGAATGTCAGGCTGAGTTTGGGGTTGACCTCCTAGATGCTGGGGAGTATTTAGAAGCAGACCGCTCTGCGGCCGGGTGGAGCATAGGCAGTAGAGGATGAGGCTGGAAACAGTGAGGGGCCTGTGCTGTGGTCCAGGGAGGGCACAGAACACGGATGCCATCCTGGAGGAGAAGGAGTGTCCCCACTGGACTTTGAAGATGGTGGGAGATGTAATAGCAGAGGCGAGGGGGTGGTGTCAGACTTGGACAAAGGGTTTTCCAGGCTCTGTTACTCCTACAAGACTTTTCTCTGACAGCAAGAAGAGAGCAGGCCTGGGTGCCAGGAGGTGGGCTCCTGTCCCAGCTCTGCCCAGGAGAGGACTGGAGGATGCTGGGCAAGTTGTTTAGCCTGTTTTGATCCTCGTTGTCCTTATCTGTAACATCAGATTCAAAACCCCTTCTCTCTTACCCCATCAAGGCCTTTGGGGGTATCCAAGGCTATATGGGGTGACTGTATTTTTAGAGCCCCAAACCAGAACCCAAGGAAGAGTGGTAGTGGGCAGAAAACGTGAAATTAGTGCCAGTTGTACAAGAAAATACAAAGTGCATGTGATGAGGGCAAAAGTTTCAGAGAAGCAGTGACTACTCAAACTCCAGTGTGTGGGGGCTCTGGAGGCAGGCTGTGGCAGAAGCCAGGCTGGGGGTTCTGATCCCGGGTCCACCCTTTCCTTAGAACCGCTCCTGGTGCAGAGCATACAATGTCACTTTTCCTATAGTGTGACCGGGCTTGTCACATCCTCGCCTTGAGTCTTGGTGTTGTTCCAGGACTGAGGATTGGCCCTGACCATGTTTCTGTGCATTAGCAGTGTCTGGCAACAGCAGTGCTCAGAGATCACTTGTTCGATGAGTGGCTTTCACTCAACGCTGGGGGGAGAGGAGAGGTGGGGAGCGAGAAGCAGCAGCCCTTGGCCGGGGAGGAGGCCCTGCAGCCCTCCCCTCCGCCCTCTTCCTCCTGCCCAGCTCACTCGTGGGCCCATCGCAGTAGCTACAGACTGCCACGTGTGCATCTGCAGGAAAGGGAGATACATGGGCAGAGACTTACCCTGAGCAGAAACAGATGTCAGGAACATTATGGGTGGGGCCGAGCATGGGGAAGCTGGGGCCAGCCAGCGGCCGGGAGCCAGGGAGGAAGGAGGGATTTCCAGGACACGAGTCAAGAGTGTGCGCGACTAAGCCAGTGTGGCTTTGGAGCAGCTGGCCTTCAAAGCCAGGAGGACGGGAGGCTGGGGTGGCTAGGACCCGGGGGCCGGGTTGTAGCACAGGGTCCGGATGGGCTATGCAGTCGTAGCTGGGAGGTGATGGCGGTGTTGGCAGCAGGAGTGGGGTTAGCCAGGGAAGGGGGTGGTGGTGGTCATTGGAGAGGGGTGCAGGCAGGTGGAGAATGCAGGTGACCCTCTGCAGGGCAGTAGCAGGTGAGGCTGGAGGCAGATGCATACCCCATGTTCCTGTGGGTGGCCGACCTTCAGCTGGCTGACTGGGGAGATTCACCCCTGGGGAGAATGAATTGACGCCGTGAACTCAGATGTACACGGAATAGAACTTTTTATTTCTCTGACTAAACTTCATTTCCATCAGGCATTTCCATTTGCTGAAGTTGAAGAAATGTGATTCTGGCCAGCTGGGATTCCTCTCCCACCACATTTCCCTGCAGCTGCATCTAAGTGCCCCTCCCCGTTGCCAGGCACTCCATGTCCACGTGGCATCTGCTGAGTCTGGGAATGTCCCATGTGCTCCCGGCTCCTGGTTCTGCTCACATATCTGCTGAGTCACGCTCATTCTCGGAGAGCCTCTTGGGTCCTCATCCGTCCTGGAACGCCCAGGTCCTCTCTGCACAAGGGCTTACCTCACAAATTCAGTGTCTGTCTGAGGGCTGTCCTGAGCCCTGCCCCAACTGCCTGGATACTCCATGTGGCTATTTCTTCCCTGGGGTCTCAGTCACATTCCTGGGGTCCTGCCCTCTGAATCTCAGATGCCCCAAGCATGCTGGGGGTCATGCCTGTGGCCCCCATGAGGCTCAGCCTGGGAAAGAGGGGACAGGATCACTTGGACCAGGAACCCACACACTGACACATTCCTTGTGTCCCGTCTGTCTCTCCTCCCCCCAGGGACATGTTCAGCTCCTCTGAGGCTTGGGGGAGAGGGCGCTGTGTGTGCCTGTCTCCCATATCTTCTCCCAAAGCTTTGGGCTGGGCTCTCATTTTGAAATAGAAGAACTTGCAAAAACTCCCTTCCCCTCTCTGCTTTCTGCTACATATCTCTTCTGTATTTGTTAGGATGCTTTTGGGTGTGAGGAACACATATCCAACACAAAGCAGGAAAAAGAAAAATAACCCTAAGTCCCAAGGCAGGGCAGCTCCAGGGCCCGTTAATTCAGCAGCCTTACTAAGGACCTGGGTTTGTCCCGCATATCCACTCTGCACGCTTAGTGCAACAACTCTGTCCGTAGGCAAACTTCTCTCAGAGCCACATGACAGTGACCACAAGATGGTGGCCACAGGATTGCTGCGCTGGACATGACAAGGGCTGTGAAAGAGAATTAGAGACTCTTTCATCCAGCAGCCTCTGCTCACTTCTCAATGGCCAGAACAGGTCACATGGCTCTTCCTAACCCAAACTCTGGGAAAGAGAATAGGACTATGGAAGATTTACCCCGGAACCCAAGGGGCCAGGGGAGAAGCTGCCGAGAGTCCATCTGGTTCATGTTCCATAAAAGCTCTCTGGCTGCATTGTCAGGTGTGGGTACGTGACTCAGCCAGGGTATCTCGGTTCTAGGAAGCCTTCCCAGACTTGGAGGGCGACCT